TTCAGAGCACCAAAGTGTGCTTCCACTCCTGCCATGGACCTTCCCCATCTGTGGGAATTTTTCTGTTTCGATTTCTCACTGCTCACAAAAATGAATCTTCACAAAGCTGTCCTGCATTGTTTCTGTACCACTTCTGTGAAGCTTTCCCAAGACCCTGGGGGTTACTGTTTAGCTAGAGAATAATGGTGGATGGAGGAGGGGCTACTCTTTTGGGTACCCTCTATCCCTAACTATTGGCACTACCAGAGGAGGTCCAGTCCTAAAGGCAGGGAATGGACTGGGGCACGGGACACCCCAGATCAGTGCTCCTCAGGCACTGACAAGGCAATGACTCCCCGGAGGTCTTGTTGGAATGCAGGTTCTGATTTAGAAGTCTGGGGCAGGCCCAAGATTCTTCATAGTCAACAAGCTCTAGGACACTGCTGATGCTGCTGGTCCACAGAGCCCACTTGGAATAACAAGGGGGCAAGACTAAGAAGTGAAAGTGCAGGAAGAAAAGAGGTCCAACAGGGACCATGGGAGGAAGAGGCCACAGGCTCTAGGGAGAAGGTGGTTCCATGGTGCTCTCCAGCCGCATCACCTCAGCTGCACAGCCTTCCTTGCGGGGCCTCTGGTGGTCCGTGTGTTGGTTACAGTGGGATGTCATGGTCCTTTCCTTCCCCTTGTGTTCAACGAGAGCAGGACCAAAGCAGCTATATGTTGAAGGGTGGGGGCTGGAGACCTCCTCACCCCCTCCCACAGGCAACTGTCAGGGAAGGAGGCAGGACTGCCACGCTGGCTTTGCCCCCTGGCTATGGGTTCACTCCACCATGGAACGGCAGTTTTCCCAGGCTGGCCTCAGGGATAACAGATAGGCTCTCTCCTCTCTGCTTCATTCCTAGCACTACTCCCTGAAGCCAAAGGAGTGAACGTCTTCACTCTCAAACAGCAGCTTCCACTTACTAGGTGCCAGGCTGCGTGAAACACCCTTCTACATTGTTTTATTTAACCCTCACAATTACCCTGGGCTTCCCGGTGGTTTGGCGACAAAGAGCCCACCTGCCAATGCAGGAGACATGGGTTTGATCCCTGGGTTGGGAAGATCCCATGGAGTAGGAAATGGCAAGCCACTCAGGTATCGTCTGGGAAATCCCATGGACAGAAGAGCCTGGCAGGCTACAGTACACGGGGTCACAAAAGAGGTGGACAGGACTCAGCAACTAAATGGCAACACAATTACCCTATGGGGTAGGAACTGGTTTATCCCCACATTATAAGGAAACCGAGGGTCCAGAAGAAACTTGTGCAATACCATGTGGCAAACGAGACACAGTCTATACCCATCCCACGCTGGCATTCAACCATAACTGAACTACACACTGTGAGGCTAGGAGCCTGTGGGACTGAATCCAGGAAAGAAGCCTTAGGACAGGAAACCAAATAAGCTGAACTGACTCGGTTCATGACCCTCTGAAGGTCAGCAGTCAAAGCTGCTCTTGTCCCTTTACCTGCCTCCCTCACTGGACCAGTAATGGAGGCTCCTCTGTGCACAACCTGGAGGAGGCGACTTGGAGGTGGTTGTGAACTGGGCTCACTGGCCTGAGCAGAGGGTGTCAGGCAGACTTGACTCACCAGGTAGTATCAAATCTTGTCAACAGAGTAGCCGGCCTCCCCGGCAGCTGAAGAGGGTCATTTTGGAAATTGAACGGAACAATACCAGCCCATCTGTTTGTACCTCAAAACACTGCACCCTGGTGCAGAAATGCGCTGGTTCTTCCTTCAATAAACCTAAATGCCCACAAGCACTGTATTAGACTTTGTGAAACTGTAAGATACACTCTTTGCCCTTAATGAAGAAAACTAACAGGTTTGATACAAAAGGAACCAAGCAATAGTGGGAACTGCAGTGAATTGGACAATTCTGCTCAAAGCTGCTTCACTTACTATTTTGCTCCAATTGGTTGCCTCTGAGCAAGAAAAATCTATTGATTTTTTTTTCAAGAAAAGCCCCAAATCAAATTCAGCTGAACTTTTCCATTTTTAAATCAATTCTGGCCAACCTCTGCTTCTCACTGACTAAGCCTTATCTTTTCCTATAATACTCAGCACCTAAAAATTCTTGGCAGAAAGGAAGTAACCAACATGCTTCTGGCACACAGACCAGGTAAAGCTTATCCAGAGAGAATGAGCCTGAAACTGCCATCATATGTATTAACAGAACAGCTGACACAACTGGGGAGGATTTTTAGCCTTGAAAATGACTAATGAGAGGCATAATTGCTGTTGCAAATAAGAAAATCCTTATAAATCTAGGGCACACTTTGCTTAAACATGAGTCCCAAATACTAACTTTTTATCTAAGAATCTTTCTCAATTCAGGGTTTTCCTAAATATTAAAACATGTAATGAAATTGCCTGGCACAACATTTGGCAAAGCGTTCAAGAAACACTGACCATTATTATGGAGGTTTATACGTTTTCTAGAAAGCACAAGAATATACCATTACTGTCATTGCATAGTTACATAGTCTGATTTTGGCTTAATAAAAAACACTTCTGTAACAATTCCAACTACAGTATGAGATTATGAACCTGACTGTTAAAATACAATAGCAAAGGCCACTCCTTAGGGGATTGAAGATATGACTACCACCTCCAGGAATCTGATTTTTATGGTCTCTGTTCTTAGGACCCTATGACTACATGCACAACTTGGAAAACTATACATATGATGTGCATTAAAAAGAAATGTGGCTAATCTCTGGGATATAGAAAGATACACAAAACTGAGTGTGTAGGGAAAAAAGTTATAGAACTATAGAATGTCAGTTTTTTTTTGAAAAACAGATACAGATAGTGCTTAGAACAATTCTAGAAAGGGATACAAGAAACTTACCTAGACAACCTTGGGAACTGGCTGTTTACTCCCCCCACCATTCCATTTTAATTTTCCCCCCTTATTAGTAGCTATCATTACCCTTAAAAAATGGCCAAATAATTTAGTTTGGCCAAAACCTTCTGGTTCTTAGCTTTGCAAACACAGCCAAGGATACTAAGCTTTATATATTTCCTCACCTTTTTACTGTCACAGCCCAAGAACTTTAGACTACTATACTCCCCAACCTATTCTCCCATTACCAAATGCAACTAACCTTTGGTGGCTGCTTCAGGTCACCCTCTCACTGTCCCTCATTTCCTGAGTCTTAGACTAGATATTTTTCCCCATTTGTGCTCACTGTGAGGGTGTAACAGCTTTTAGATACCACCCCAATACTGACTCCCAAATTTCTAACTGTAGTTTTGACTTCCTTCCCAAACTCCAAACTACGTATTGCAATTGCCTACTCAGTATTTCCACTTGGATGTCAAGTAGACATCTAAATTTAATACATCCGAAGCTGAATTCATCTTCCCCAATAACATCACTCTACCTATAGCCCTTCAAATCTCAGCCAATGGCACTGAGAATGGCACTAATCATCCGAATTCATTCGTTCAGTTCAGTCGCTCAGTCGTGTCCAACTCTTTGCGACTCCATGGACTGCAGCATGCCAGGCTTCCCTGTCCATCACCAACTCCTGAAGTCTACTCAAACTCATGTCTATTACATTAGTGATGCCATCCAACCAACTCATCCTCTGTCACCCCCTTCTCCTCCCACCTTCAATCTTTCCTAGCATCAGGGTCTTTTCCAATGAGTTGGTTCTTCGTATCAAGTGGCCAAAATACTGGAGTTTCAGCTTCAGCATCAGTCCTTCCAATGAATATTCAGGACTGATTTCCTGTAAGATTGACTGGTTGGATCCCCTTGCAGTCCAAGGGATTCTCAAGAGTCTTCTCCAACACCACGGTTCAAAAACATCAGTTCTTCAGCGCTCAGCTTTCTTTACAGTTCAACTCTCACATCCATACATGACTACTAGAAAAACCATAGCTCTGACTTCAGAATAAAACAATGACGAGAAAGCAAAGTAAGCACAATGCTAGTTAACCGAAACTGAAGGTTGCCCTGGGGATTGGGATCAAAGACATAATCATTAAACTGTTTGCTAAAATAGGTTAAAATTCATTTTTAAGTCTAGGATTTAGATTTTGACATTTTAATTTCTTTTGAATACAAGTCATTTTTTGCAAGCTAGGAGGCAGATCAAGCTAAGGCAGTTTAGTCCTCTGAGATCCAGGCCAATTCTTAAAATCTTCAGCAGACTGACATTAATACAAGGTGCTAACAACAGGGTCATAAACTCTAAATAATAACCATTCATCTACATTTTTTCCTTAGGAAACAACCAAAAGTCTAGTCCATAAAGGTATGATATAAGAACATCTTGATCTACACAGGACAGAATGATCCAAATTATATGCTGGCCAAGCTATCAGTGAGCCAGATCAGAGCTGGCCAAGGATTGGTGTACAGAGAAAAGTGTTTACATTTGCTTTGAGGTTTAAAAAATTTCTGGTTGTTGTTAATAAGAAACCAAGTGAAAAACATAGATGCACCACAATATTTGATTGTGCCAAGGTCTTCCACTAGAACACAAAGTTAAAGAGTATGGGGAGAAAACACTTAAGATATTTTAAAAATAAATTTCTTAGTAATAAGAAATCTGACATATCGCATTCTTCCATTTGCATAAGAACATTCTGACCATGAAGACTATTTAAAAGAATGCTCAACTCTAAAAAGGGTGGTGGCAGAACACTTTCCACTACAGAATAACCTCCCACTTTCCCATACAATTAATATTGCTACTCTCCCATGATGCATATTCATACAGAAAAACTTTTGTCAGGAGCTTTTTGCCAGGGCCAGAAAATGAAAAATAAGAGAATGCCTGAATGACAGTTACTTGTGAGCTTAGTTAACATCTTTCAGGATGGACCCATAAAATTTGGCCACTGTTTTCTTAAACATCTGCAAACTGCAGAACTCCTTAGCCCGTAGTCATAGTTTCTGGTCAATGTCTTAAAGCTGGGCTCAGTTCCATCTGTGACTCTTTTCTTCAGGGCTGGGGTGGGTGCTAGTCATCAAAGTCTGGAATGTCATCGTAGGAGTATCCCCGGTAGCCTTTGGATGCATAGTAGGCGATGCGCAGGTGGTAAAATCCTGGCAGGAACACCAGGATGCCAATGATCAGGACAGGAACAGCCCGGTCTGCCCCCTGGTGGCAGAAGGAAACAAACATTACTACATGCAAGTTATTAAAATTTAAAATAAAGTCATGGGACCAATTCATAAATCAGTTATCATATACTTTTCAGAGCTTCGGGAAGTATACTACCAAGAGAAAAGGTTTACATCTCTTTGTCTCTTTAACAATTGCAGAAAAATTGCAAAGTATTAAAATTATAAAGAAATTATTCATGTTCATTCACAGATATTTTGGCTAACTTTTACTCCTTTAAAAGTTTTAGTTGTGAATATACCAAACTCTGTGCCTTGTTTTTTGTCCTTATTATAACACATTCTGGGTTTCCCTCATAGCTCAGTTGGTAAAGAATCTGCCTGCAATGCAGGAGACCAAGGTTTGATTCCTGGGTTGGGAAGATCTCCTGGAGAAGGAAATGGCAATCCACTCCAGTATTCTTGCCTGGAGAATCCCATGGATTCTGGAAGGCTACTGTCCATTGGGTCACAATAGTCGGACACAACTGAACGACTAAACCACCACAACACAAATCTATAAAGATCTGCTTTTAACAGAGGTATACATGCCGTGTATTGATATACTGACAGGCTGCTTCATTCAAAACTGAAATAGGATTATTTACCTCACATGGTTATAATGGAAATTAAATGAGGTGATTGATACCTGTAAAGCAAGTAGCCTCAGCTGGCACACAATGACAATAAAAGCAAGCTTAAAACCAAAGGAAGAGAACTTGAAGGGGATTATTTGAACATTAAAAATTATAGTCTACAACTTTCACAATTGAAATATTTGGTGCTATTTCTATTATCTTATGTTACATTTTCTATTTTTCTGTTTATTTTTTTCTGGATTTTGACTGTACATCCCTAAGGAGACACATCCTAAGGATTAAAAGAGTTGCTAAGAAAACTTACAGTGCATTCAGCCTTCTTTTACTTAGCATTAAACTGTTATTACTTTTAAATTGCTGCTGCTGCTGCTGCTGCTGCTAAGTTGCGTCCAACTCTGTGTGACCCCATAGATGGCAGCCCACCAGGCTCCTCTGTCCCTGGGATTCTCCAGGCAAGAATACTGGAGTGGGTTGCCATTTCCTTCTCCAATTACTTTTAAACTATTTAATGTCAAATAAGGCATGAAGAAATTATTTCAATATCATTGGGATAGACATACATACCTACAAGCAAAGAAATTAAGTTCAAACTGTAATCTTAAACTTGCATGGGAAATATCTAATACTACAGCTATTATGACATATTGGATTGGCCAAAAAGTTCATTTAGGTTTTTTGTAAGATGTTTTGGAAAAACCCGAAAGAAATTTTTGGTCAGGTCAATGTCTATACAATATTTCCTTGTTTTCTAAAGGGTATTTATTTCCTAATTCTGTCTCTGAAAAAGCCTGGAAAAAATGAAAACCAATAGTAACGGCATCATTAATGCCCAGTTTGTGAGCTCTAAATCTACTTCCCATAAAGAAACCAGAGCTCCTTAGTGAAATGGCTGTTTAAAAGTTGGGGGACAGGGAATATACAGATGGGCCTGGGATAATGTACTGAGCCAGAAGGCAAGAAAGAAGGCAAGAAAACTATTAAAGGCTTTGAGAACCCATGTGTAATAGCAAACATACAGCATCCCTATGAAATAGTCTTTCTAAAACAAAACTAAAGTAGATCTAAATCTAAGCAAGTTCCTAAATTTATCAGTACGCAAGAAAAAGGGGACTAGAAAAACAAGGTAAATTGTATTAAGACAATACCCCTAGATTTAGGTAAAAACTGTTAAGAGATGCATACTGAAGATGCACACATAATAATTTACCAGCAAATGTAAATCTGGTATTTGCTTTAGTATACATAGGAAAAAAAAGTTGGGGGTATAGATGAAACAAAAGGTCACTAACTGTTGATGTTCAGCTGTGGATATGTACTGGGGGTTCATTATGTTATTTCATCTGCTTCTGCTTTGTTTGAAATGTCTGCAATAAGAAGTGAAAAAACCCCAAACCAAACCAAAAGCCAAAATAATCTAATAACTGATTTTCTTAGTTAACACCTTTATCCTTACTTATAGTCTTTTATAGATCACACAAGGTGTGATCTCACCTCCATTCTCAACTTTTATATCATTAATAAAGTTAACTGAAGGCAGTCCTGAAGTTCGATGTTCAAATTTAGACAGCACTAAGTAAGCCTCTGGTAGCCAATAATACTTTTAAAATAGCTAAACACAAATTGCTACACAGCTAAAGCAAATTTATATACATCTCAAAAGCCATATGCAGCCATTTTATTGTGACAGTCTACTATTCCTAATTCCAAGATGCCCAGAGTTTTAGCTCTTTGCTGTGTTCCCTATACAAAACAATGTGACCATCATCCCCTGGTCTGGTGTGTGTTGAAGATCAGATGTGAACTATGGTCAATATTAGTTTACATGCTGTGTATAAGCATCTGTATTGGGCTTCCCTGGTGGTTCAGATGGTAGAGAATCTGCCTACAATGAAGGAGACCCTGGTTCAATCTCTGGGTTGGGAAAATCCCCTGGAGAAGAATATCCTCCAGTATTCTTGCCTGGAGAAATCCCCAGACAGGACAGCCTGGAGGGCTACAGTCTATGAGGTCACAAAGAATTGGACATGACTGAGTGACTAACACTACCACTACTATACAATCCAAGAGACAGAATCACCAAAAACTACTTTAGGTTTCTAAGGTATCATACTGAAGCTCAATAGAACTTCAAATCCAATTTAAGAAAGATCTGAGCCAAAAGTCTTGGCTTGGTCAGTGGCCCCAGACCTATACAAGCCTCACTGCTTTTGCCCAAACACTAACTACAGTTGTATGTCTGTGGCATTGCAAAGTTACAATAATATCATCCCACTCCAGTTACAAACTTTATCACTCAGGAATCCTCAGTGCTAGACTCAGCTGTGCTGTTCCAAACTATGACGGTAGGAAAACTGCCCACATCTCAGAGAGAAAATTTGCCCACCTGCCATACCCACCTCATAGGAACTGTGGGAGAAGTTTGTTGAGGCTCAAAGGAAGAAACATCTTGTTATCTGAGAACAAAATCTTAAAAACAAAACAAAAACAACCTTTTCTTCTTTCTGGTGAAACATGCTGTACTAGATACAAGACAACAGAGTGGCTCACATTTTAAACATCTTATGGAAATCCCACAAGCCCCTCAGCTTACCCCTTTGCTGATATAGCCTGCCAGCAGGAGGGAGCCTATGATAATGAGAAAGGCGCCAATCAAAAACAGCACTGTAGCAAGCGCAATGGCCTTATATGGGATCTTAGGAGGGCTTTTTTTAAACTGGAAGAGAAACAAACAAAAAAAGACAAGGAAGAGCATTATGAATATACCAGGACTCAGATACTTTAAGGCAGGGAGGATATGAAGAATCAATCTTAGTGTGTCTTGAATAAGTCCTACCACCCAGTGCAGCTCTGGGGGAGAAAGAAAAAGGACTGCAGATGAAGCTCCAGTTACTGTTCTAACAATAACTCGAGTAAGGAAATCCCAGCAGAATGTTATTTTTTTCTAGTTCTAGTCTCATTCCACGACTACTCATTGTACTGTTTAAAAAATAATTTTCTTACAAAAACAAGACACTTCATGTTACACATGTTTTTTAATAAACATGCCTTTGCACATGGAAGGCTGTACTAATCTACAGGGATTAAGAGTGAATATCAAGCTCTGGAAAAGTAAGAAAGAAAAAAATGATTTCTGGCATTCAAAGTTAAGTTGGTATCTGGTCAAAGGTTTTAAAAACAATTTTTTCTGAAGCATTAGCTGCCTGCCCCACAGAGCAAGTAACCTGCCTTATTAACAAGTTCAACTCAAGGTTAACATTCAAAGACAAATTTCTAAGGTTTGGCTCCTGTTTGTGTGTGACCAAACTGACTGGAAGCTTTTCCAACCTGCTTTATTAAAAAAACTCTCTCCTTCAAGTGTGAGTCCCAAAAGTACAAAGACTAATTGATTTCTTTATACTGATACTTATTTAAAAGGATGGGTTCCTGCTACTTCTTTAATCCTAGTTCCACCTAAAATAGCCTAGCCTAAAGGGAAGTGGTCAAAAGGAGATGCTACACCCTTAAGTACTTTATAAACAATGATCAGGAAGGACACACATTTAAAAAATATTCTCCGTTTTACTTACTGTTTGCCACAAAGAATACCTTTAATAAATTGGATCTCATGACATCAGGAAAGAAGGAAGATTCCCACAATCTGCTGGCTTTAGCAGTGAGTTTCTCCCTTAAAAGATGAACTGGTTTTGACTGAAGTGTAAACAAACTGGTAACACAGTCTTTAAAAAATTCTACTTAACAAACGATAATCTGATTGTTTCCAGATAAACTAAATAAAATTTGCAACTATGGGACTCTGGCATCACAACTAAAATTTCTCAGAAATGGACAATATTTATATTGGTTTGAAACTGCTCTGCCAAGGTCCCTTTGTCGGCAGGCTATGGCTGAAAGAGTCAGCAGTTTCTTTCCTGCCTTTCCCTCTAATCCCTAGGAACAATCAGCAAAACCTGGAAGGTCTCCCTGCTAACTCAGCATCAACAGAGCCAGCTAATGTCATCAGGTCCTTTCTGCATTTACCTGAAGGTCAATGTAGCCATCATCTGTACTAGAGAGTCTTGAGTATTTCACTTTGCTACTAGGAATTCCAGTAGCCAGGTTGGTACGAGACGGCATCATAACACGCTGACACAGCTACAGTATGAAAACAAAGAAAAGTATTATTGTTTGCAGGCTACAACAATGTGTTTGTTATACACACTGGAGTCCTGGGCTGTCATATTATACTAGCAATTGGTGATTGAAGCTCCATTGCTCTTAGAGCCTGATATTCCTTTGACATGAAAACATTCTCATTATGCCTCTCCTCTAGTTTCTCCTGGTAAAATAAGAATCAAGACATTTGCCAAGAACCAGACTTCACATTTATTTTTCCATTAATGTTCCTCTGCTTCCTAATTTTTTCAAAGTCACAAGAGAGTAGGTGAAACAGTGGTCACTTAAATCCATCTGACTTTTCAACCATTCTGCTACAGTACTGCCTGTCCCCCTGTCCCGGCTTCCAGAAAAAGCAAGAGGAGCATATACTCATGTAATTCTCTTATTTCACTAGGACAGAGGAGAGAGGGTGGGAAATGAAATACATTCACATCAGCATTTTGCCTATTTCCCTCTGATGGATATCATCCGTTTAATGCAAAAGTTCTGGTACATTTGGATAAGCTACTGGCTACCAGTATTATACCAGTGTCCTCTGATTTGCCTGTCTCTCTGCTCCACCCCAGAGGGCTTCCCCGTTGGCTCAGTGGTAGAGTCCAATGGAGGAGACCCAGGTTCAGTCCCTGGGTTGGTAAGATTCCCCTGGAAGAGGGCATGGCAACCCACTCCAGTATTCTTGCCTGGAGACTCTCATGGACAGAGGAGCCTGGCAGGCTACAGTTCATGGGGTCGCAAAGAGTCCAACACGACTGAAGTGACTGAGCATGAATGCACTGCTTCACCCCAAGCACTGAAAGTAGCAATTTCACTTTCCAGGTTCCTTCTTCAGCTACATCAAAAACAAAACAAAAAAAACTCTGAATGAACACATGGTTTTTGTTCAATCTAGTCAAAGTTGACTCCCATAATGAAATCGTGGCTATTACCTCACCAGCTTAAAAGAGAGTAGATAAGATTAAATTGAAAAACATTTGTAATTCGTGTACTTTTCCTCCATAAAATCACAATGTTGTGTGAATGAAAAATTAAGCCTATTTTGATTATGAAGTTACTTGATTTCTAAAAGTGAAACATATCTAAGCTTTATATATACTTAATTCTGAATATTAATAAGCTGTTTTAAGTGGCCTGTAGTCAACCTAATTAGTATTATAAAGGAACTGGTGCTAAACACTCCCGTTCCTTTTTAGTAATTTTGTAATGATGCAAATATCAAGTACTGAAAAAATAATGAGTATGCTTTCTTATATGCTTTTCAAAAATGGTTAGATCAAATTATGTCAAAAACTATGTTTTTAAGTGTTGTGATCCTGATTACACGATAATTTAAATTTAATTCTATAAAACTTTAAGTCCAAACTACCAATAAGTGGGGAGTTTTGAGAGCATTTAATCACCTGTGATTTGTATCAGTCTTTAAAAAAGTTTACATACTGTCATTAACTATTCATACACTGCATCAAAACATAAAAATGGGCATAGCGTTGAGGAACACCAGACGATTGCGTATTGGTAGCTGAGTAAGAATTCTAAAAGAGGGAAAAGGAAAAACGTAAAGCAATGTTTTCTGAGTACCTGCCCAACAGGCTTTTTTTTTTACCAGCCTCACCGGAATCCCAAAATTCCTTCAGCACTTGAATGTTGCAAGAATTTTTAAAGCATCAGCAAAGCACTTAGCGCACAGCTTCGCACTACGGGCCTCTCCACACTACTTCCCCGTCCGCTTACAGACCCAGCCAGCAAGAGAAATAAGAACCGACGTGAATTTAGATGGAAAAAATCTGGTTTCAGGAAATCGGCCAGCCGTGCCCCGGGAGGGTGAATGCTCCACACCGAGGACTCTAGCCTTGACCGGCGGAGAACGCAGTCTGGGCCGCGCCGCAAGCCTGAGGCGGGCGCTTCCGCTTCCTCCCAGCGAGCACACACACCTTATCCGGGGTCCGAGCGAGGACAGCTCGCTCACGGTTGGCAGCTGGAGCGCCCGAGGCCTCCCCCAACTGCCACCCCGCCTCGACCGGCTGGACGCCGGAAATGGCGTATGTTTTGGAGGCTACGGGCCGGACGTGGCGTCAATGGGGGCGACGCCTTCTCATTCTACTTGCTCCGGTTTCAAGCCCGCCTTCTTTCCAGCGGCCCGCAGAAGGCGTCGGGTCTTAGGGCTCCGCAAGCGGAGCGCGCCCGGTAGGGTTTTCTAAGGCTCTGCGGTCCGGGCTGGCTGTCCGCCACTTCCGCCGGGGCCGGTGGGTTCCTAGGCAGCGGCGCCGCCTGGGTCACAGTCAGGCCCAGGGCTACCCGGCCACGTGTTTCTTTCCGGCAGGCCGGGCAGTGTAGAGAGCTCAGTGGCGCTGCGAAACGCGGAAGGCGAGCTGACGAAGCTCCAGAAAGTTAAAGCTGTGAGGTCTCCGTGTGCCCAGGGAAGGCCGCCTTCCCCGGGGTCTGCGCAGCCATCTCTGCCGCCGTCTACCTCACCCGCTGCTCTCGAGTAGCACTCTGCATTCTCGTGCTTGTTTCCTGCACATCTTCAGGCCATGCTCCATTAAGAGGCCTGCCCACAAGGGACATTTTGCAATACATAAAGCTTAAAATGTCAAGGTTTATTAAAGTATGATTTACATATAATAAAGTACAGTTGGGTTAGTTTTTTTTGACAAATGCAGTGGAGACATCACCAGAGTGTACATAAAATATTTTTTTCACTCCAAAAACTTCCACCAGGCCCTCTGCTGTCAGTCTCCTTCCCCAACACACCCGGAAGACAATTTATCTACTGGATACAGTGAGCTCTACCACCGGATAACTAGAATGTAATATGTGACTTTGTAGCACAATTACTGCTGGGCCTTTTTCACTTTCTTGGTTGACTCCCGACACCCATGGAAACTATTTTCATCCTTCAGGGGAATAAGTCCCACTTGCCCCTCCCAAAAGTCTACTTACACTAGAAAAACTATTTTTGCACAAACATACTTCTTGGGACCTATCACAGATCTGCTAACACTTCCAAGACTCCCTAGGCTCCCTAGGCTAAAAAAACACTTCCCTACCACAATGCTATAAGTGGCCTTATAAAGGCCACTGAACTTTACAAACATTAAGCTTCTGTAAAGTGTTAGTTTCTGCTAATACAAAGTATTATATGTGTTCTACTCTCTTTTCATTTCTTGAGCTCGTCAGAATACCAAAGTTAGTTTGGCAAATGAATCAGCCCAAAACACTCACTGTATTCGGAATACTTTAGACTGAAAAAATAGAGCAGTTACATGAAAGAATTGCTTGAATTGTAACTTGTTTAGGATACTTGCAATCATTGTAGTCCAAATGAAGGCACTGTCCTGTGATGCTTAAATTCAAATGACTTTTATTTAAATTGAAAATGATACTTAAAACACATTTAGAATCAAAACTCTTTTGTTTATAAAAACTATAAGGATTATTCCTAGGTAATGCAGAAGTATTACTCGGTTAACAAGACCAGATTTGACTTTGGACTTTTCTTTAAACAAGTTGTAGAGGATGGAGAAAAAAAAGTTATTTACAGAAAACAGTATCTACAATATGTATTCAGAGGTACAAAGACAAAAAAGACTTAAGTGTGTGCTGGCATCTCAGAAGCAGTTCTTAAAGAGCTTAGTTTTATTTCTTTGAATTTTAAGAATGTCTAAGATCCTTCTTCATCCTCGATCTTGGGAGCCAAATAGTACTTTAAATGTCCCATATCAGCAATTTTATACTCTACAACTGAAAGAAAACAGGAGAACATAGTTAATTATTGAGAAGTACCACATACACTACCTACAAAACCAAGATTCAACAAGTTTATTATCTTACCAAGGGGTACATCTGCAGACATACTGAGTGTTACTGTAGGAGAGAGTGGAGTGGCTTTTGTAAAGAAGTTCAGGTACCTCAGTGCAAAAGTTAGCTGAACTGGTTCATTCATCTCTATGGTAACCTTAGGGAGAAAACAAAAGATTCATTATACTGAACAACATTAAGAAAACTGCAATCCATTCACTTATAGTATATATTAACAAATAATCAGCTAATAAATAAAGGAATAAAATATATTAATATATTACAATTCTGCAAACCCTAATGACTTAATGATTATAGACAAAATTTACTATGGCTGATAAATCACAAAGATATCCAAATATCTCATGTCTCCTATAGAGGGACACACCACTATAAAATATTCTCCTTCTCCCACCTCCAAACAAAACACCTTGAAAATCATCAAGCCCCTAGAGCTGTATCTATCAGAAAAAGGATCTGAAAAACATATTAATTGACATAAGGAACTCAGTGAGCAAAATCCAGACTTTGGAAAATTTGACAACAAATGACTTACTTTCTTCAACAAATGAAATTATAATGGAGAAGGGGAAACTGAAACTGGAGAAACAATGGATTAAAAAAAACCTGAAGAGCACATCCCAGTGAACTATGTATGGACCGTATTAAAAATCTTGATTCAAATAAACTGAAATAAGAAGGGAAGCAGGAACACTGAAAAATTCCTTAACATAAATTTTCTTAGATGTCATAAAATGTATATACTATAGTAACAGTAAGATATTCATGTGTGAACTTTTAAAATTTCTGGCTGTGCCCCACAGCTTGCAAGATCTTAGTTCCCAGACCAGGGATTGAACACATACCCTCATCAGTGAAAACATGGAGTCCTAACTACTGAACTATTCAGAGAAAAACAAAAATCAAGATTGGCAAGGAAATGAGATGTAATTTAGAATAAAAGAATTAGCTCCTGGAATTTTGTTACTAATACATATTTATTACATATATATATATATTCAAACTCTTTATTTAAAAGTTAATATATAAGGATTACATAAGAGCTAGATTTTCCCCCCAACCAGACCCTTTTATTGAGTTGCTCAATTATTTGGTAAACATAGTAAATACCCCCAGAAAGCCAAGAGTAGCCTTCCAATCATATTCTTAAGAGTATGTGTGGGACTGATATACAAACCCATTGTTCTGTAGTTTATAAAGGCTGCACTGAATTTGCATTCCCTTCTCACAAATTTAAGTTAGATGGCATTTATAGATCAGTTGCAGATTTCAAGTGTCTTTTAATTCTCACAAATCAGTTACTTGAAAATGCAAATTGTAAAAAAAAAAAAAAAAAGAAAATGAAAATTGTTTTTCTTTAGAGCTTTCTTTAATCTTAGCAATTACTTTGCTATGGACCGAATGTTTGTGTCCACCCCACATCAAATTCACATTAAAACCAAATTTCCAATACGATGGTATTGGAGGGGACTTTGGGAGATGTTTAGGTTAGGAAGGCAGAGCCCTCATGAATGGGATTAGTGCCTTTTAGAGACCCCAGAGAACTTCCCTACCCCTTTCACCAGGTAAGGAGGCTGCTGTCTTCTTAAACCAAGAAGCAGGCCCTCGTCAGACATCAAATCTGCCAGCTTCAGAACTGTGAATAATGAACTTTTGTTGTTTATAAGCCACTCAGTCTATGGTATTTTGTTATAGTAGCCTTAGCAGACTAGGACATAACCTAGTTTAATTCTTCAAAGTATTTTATTTACTTAAAAACTACTTACAGCTTCCTCCTCTTTATCAACATTACTTGTCTGTGACAACTTAATATTTCCATTTCCAAGTTCTCCACTTGCAGAAAATTTCACTCCATCTTTTGCACAGGAAATTACAACAGCGTCTCCAATATGACTAAGATCTCGGCATATACGTGCAAATTCACCAGAAGGCATCTTTACTACACAGCTATACTCCTGTTCCTACAAAACAAAAAAATGTAAAGGTCATGGAAATGAAAGATTTGGCACCCTCACTTCCTGAAGATTCAACATCTAAACAAGAACTCAGAATTCAAGATTTTCTGATTACTCTGAAATATCACTCACTGTGCAATTTCTTAACATTCTACTAAAAAAAAAATGCAGATATAAAAAAGTATAAGAATAATCACACTAAGAAACCAATTAGAACTTAAAACTTTTAAAAGTAAATGCACTATCCAGGGAACAAGAGCCTCCACCTATCACTCTATAGGAGGTCTAAATCTAGAAGACATTAGGATATAGCACACAAATGGTAACAGCACAAATAGGTTTGCTTTCCAAAACAAGAGCATGTTAGGCATTGTAAACATCTGAACACATCTTCTTTTGATGTTGATAAATCTCCTCTCAATAAAAATCAAGCACTCTAGGAATAATAATTTTTTAAAAAGATGCAGAGGCTAATACAAATATGTCCTTGGCAGCAATGAATTCAAACCAATGAGCCATTGCAGAATACCATAATTTAATAAAACGACAAATGTTAGTCTAAATACCCTACTCTGGAATATTCATGATCAGATACATAGGAAAGTTCTGTTAGGAAGTAGGCTTTAAGTTATTATATAAATATATGTTATATAACTATCATGACTGTACAGCATGCTCAATCAGAAACTTCTGATACTCACTGGAATTCCAAGTTGTTCAACATCTAAATCCATTAACTTCATTTCATAGTCTGAAACCTTTTCCTGATCTACCAAAAGAAAACAAATTTGAAGAAAAACATGTAAGTTTAAAACTAAGAGGTATATTTTACAATCATCAGACTTGGGAAATACTGACACTGCATTTTAGTTTCCTCTACCATAACTCAGTAGAAGGGTGAACTTACTTGGAGCTTCAAAAACTAGTGCCAAGGTGTCCGCATTATCTTCAGCCCGTAAGGTAATGATGTCTTCATTGCCAGCACATTTTAGTATTTTGGACATGCTAGAACAGAAAAGACAAAGGGTTTTAAATCAACACCATCTTCTCAAGATCGTTAGTTTTCTAATGGAATTAAAATCAGGAGTTACCATTTTTAACCATTAGCTGCTGTAGTTTAGACCCTAAGTGGTGTTCGACCCTTTTGCAACCTCCTGCATTGTAGCCTATCAGGGTCCTCTGTCCATGAGATTTCCCAGGCAAGAATACTGAAGTGGGTTGCCATTTCTTTCTCCAGGGGATCTTCTCTACAAAGGGATCGAATCCTCATCTCCTGCATTGGCAAAGGGATGCTTTACCAGTAAGCCACCAGGGAAACCCTTAACCAGTACGCCATCTGTCAGACTGGGGAGTTAGGAAAACGTACTGCACGGGGGATATGCAAGCCGGTCCAGGTATTTTGGAATGCAATCTGGCAGTATTTATACCTCAAAGGCCCACAACATACCAAGAGCAATTTCACTTCTGGATATAAATAAAAGAACAATATTTTATGAATTTCAAATCCCTTATGGTGGGTGAAGTAAATTATCGGGCCAACTATCTTTAAAAATGACCTAATACACCTATTAAAGTACACTGCATGTACTATGGGTATTTATCATAAGCTTTAAGATGTCAACATGGTGTTTATCATAAGCTTTAAGATTTAAATATGTGTATTTCAAAAGTTGAACGCCACTGCCCTGGAGAAAGTTTTCAAGTCCAGGATCTTAGGGTGCTCACCGCAACTTTGCAGTAAAAAAAGAAATACTCTGGTTCCTAGATAGGGTGACAGAACTAGGATACACTATAAAGTCAACCAGGACGAAGATTTCTCGTCCAAGTCGCCTGCCCTTAAAGACCAAAGCGTTCTGCGACAGTCTTTTCCTGGCACCGCAAAGTCCATCATTTTCCCGCCACCACCCGCTTTGTGACTTTGGCGCGGAAAACAGCCGGTTCGCTCTTCGCGCTGCAGCCAGCGCGGGCTTTGCAAACCGCGCGCTCTGCTGGGTCCCGCCACCACCCTACTCCGCAGCAGGCCAATGAGAAGACGCAGATGGCCCACGCCAGCCAATGAGGGCCCGGCTCGTAGGAGCTCCCGCCAAGAGCCAGAGGTAGGAGTGGACCAAGGCCCGGATGCCCGAGGCTTTGGAGCTCACCTGGTGAGGTTCACGCCCATGGCCAAGTTGCGGTCGCAGCGGTAAGTGTCGAAGCCCTCGGAGCGAAGGGTTAGTTGCACCAAGGAGACATGAGACGAGTCCATGCTCTGCAGGTTCACGCCACTTGAGCTGATGTCCCAGCAGGCCTCGTTGATGAGATCCTTAAGCGCTTCCAGCACCTTCTTCAAGATGGAGCCCTGGACCAGGCGCGCCTCGAACATGGTGGCGGAGTCGCAATGACACGGCTACAGGTAGGAGTGAGGAAGGTGTAGCCGGCTTAGGCTTCACAGGATGAGAGCAAGAGGCGGAACACGACTACGAACGCCTGAGACGAAGGAAGCCACTAACAACTCGCCGCGCCTGCAGCCGTTTAATACTGCCGCGTCTGCTAGCGCGCGCTACGCCCCCGCGTCCCTTGTTGATACGTCATCACGCTGCCCTCCCGCTGCCTGGGCGGAGAGACTGTAGAGCCAGTCCTGTACCTGCACTGCACGAAACCCGCCCTACCCCGAACATCCATTGGAGGATGCGGCTATGGGGGCGGGGCGGGGGCGGAGCGTTTCGGAGGCCCTGCAGATAGGCGTGCGCTGGAGGCCTGGCCTTTTTGTCTTGTTACGGCACCCGTTAGAGGAGTCCCTGTGAGTGTGAACATCAGTCCTAGACTGGGCGGGAATAGTTGATGAGCGGCGACTCTGGTGCCTCGTCAGACTCCGCTTGAGGGGTAGAAAATTTACAGCTGTGAGTGAAACGTAAATCCAGCCTGTGTGCTCAGTTGCATCAGTTTGTCTGACTCTTTAGGAAGAAAAGCCACCTTGTAGCCTGAAGAGTGTAGGTGCTTTAAGGGAGGTACAGTTATGATTTAAAAACGGACAGTTATCACCTCACCACCAGCTCTTAAACCTCCTCCACCACTTACACACAAATTGATATCATTTATTGTATGTAACTTTCTAAGTTTTTTTTCCTCTACAAGTTTATGTATTTTAAAAAACAAAAATGAGTTCATGCCATAAAGAATTCAGCAAAGTGCTTACTAAAGTATGTTTAATTTTATGCCAGGTTCATGTTTTATCAGCACCTCTTAAAAAGATGGCATCATATCCTACAAATGTAACCTAACCTAGTTGCCAATCTCTTGTAATTCGGGCAACTCCTTGAAGTAGTATTGCTGGACAGAGGAGCATACGCATTAAATTTTTGATAAATGTTAACTAAGTTGACTTATAAAAGATTGTAAATTACATTCCAGCCAAGACTATGAGCATGCTCCTTGCCCGTAATTTTTCTAACTAAAGTTATTAGCAATCTAATTTTTAAATCTGTGCTCATTTGTGTGGAAATTTCAATTTGCATATTAAAAGACTGGTGCAAATTGGATATCTTTCATACAGTTCTTGACCATTGCATGTTTATATTTTTTCTATTAAACTTTTTTCTTATTGATTAAAATTATTTGTTAATCATCTCCCTATTATAAATATTCCCCCTTTGTTTCTTTTTTCCTTTGTTTACAGCATTTCTTTTTAGTTGCTTCTAATGTTTTACCTTGGTCTGTAGAATTCTTTAGTCTTTCTACCATGTATGGTGTAGATTTGGTTTTATTTATCCTGTTCATGGAATTTTTGTATTACTCAGCCAAAAGATTCACGCATTTCATCAAGTCTAGAATATTGTCAACCATTATGGTTTCAAAAATTGCCTTTCCCTACTCAATGCTCTCCCTCTAGTATTTCTATTAGATGTGTCTTTAATTGAATTTAAGATACCTTCAATTGTAAGATGTAGCACAAGAAAATAAAATATGAAACTATCCTGATTTATCATTTAGATTTTCTGTTTTGTTATTATCATAGAACTTTGACTTTTCAAAACATTTGTATCATATATCACTCTTGTGCATGTGATGCACACATATTATATATATGTAAAAGCACACATATATAAAAGCTCTCGTAATATATCTTAACATTCAGTTTCTCAGTCAGTTGCTGATAACTGCTGTTTTTCCATATATCATCGTTGTCAAGGCTGTGAATGATGCAGCATTCTTAAGAGTGATACTGGGCTTCTCTGGTGGCTCAGTGATGCAGTCACCTACTGGTGTAGGACCTCTGGGTTCGAGCTTAATCCTGGAAGATCCCACATGCCTTGGAACAACGATCTATGCACTACAACTATTGAGCCTGTGCTCTCGAGCCAGGGAGCTGCAACTACTGAAGCCTGAGTGCCCTATATCCCATGCTCCAAAACAAGAGAAGCTATCACAGTGAGAAGCCAGCGCACTGAGACTGAAGCCAAGAGTAGCCCCAAGAGTAGCCCCTAGTAGCCGCACTGAGAGAAAGTAACAAAGATCCTGCACGGCCACAAATAAATAAATAAAATTATGTTAAAAAGAGTGCTACTCTGTTGTTTCTAGAATTTATTCCAAGACTCAGCCATGCATTTGTAAATTTTGATGCTAGCACTAACTTCCTTTATGTATGATCAACTATCCTTTTGCATATATCTTTATATCAAAACACAACAGTTTCATCTTTTGTGGGTATTTTTCTTTCTAGGTCATTTTGGTGTCTGAGTTCCTTTGCAAAGTGTGGAATGCATTTATTCTTCCAGTGAGAAATATTTGCTTCACTAATAACATGTATACTCTGTTACTCTGTTTTTATGCTTTCTGCTTACATAATCACGTTTTGGTTTAATGCCAAGTCAAAGTGTTATTAATTTGAAGGTATTTTAAATGGCAGTTAAACTCCACTCATGATTTAAGAATGGCTATGAACTGTGGTCAGATATGGCCTTTCTGAGTAGTTAACATTTTACCAGAGAAACTAGCTGTTTGGAGAGTGGGAGAAAGAGTATTCTTGGCTAAAAAAATAACATGTTTAAAAGGTCAGCATGCTTAGAAGGTGTTCAGATAGTAGTTTGTTTTAAAATTCAAAGCTTTTTGGACTTCCCTAGTGGCACAGTGGATAAGAATTCGCTGCCAATGCAGGGGACTTGGGTTTGATCTGTGGATCAGGAAGGAAGATTCCACGTGCCATGAGCAACTAAGCCCATGTGCCACAACTACTGAGCCCATACTCTAGAGCCCACGAGCTGCAACTACTGAGCCTGAGCACCTAAAGCCTGTGCTGGGCAATAAGGGAAGTCACCACATTGAGAAGCCTGTACACTGCAAGAGAAGCCACCACAATGAAAAGCCTATGCCCTGCAATGGACAGTAGCCCCTGCTTACTGCAACTAGAGAAAGCCCAAGAAAAGCAACGAAGACCCAGTGCAGCCAAAAATAAGTAAATAAATTTGAAAAACTTCAAAGCCTTTTAATAAATATTTCCCCCCAGTTTTATTGAGATATAATTAACGTATAGGCTTCCCTAGTGGCTCAGTGGTAAAGAATCAGCCTGCCTATGCAGGAGATACGAGTTTGATCCCCGGTCTGGAAAGATTCCCTGGAGAAGGAAATGGCACCCACTCCAGTATTCTTGCCAGGAAAAATCCCATCAAAAAATCTGTGTAAAAGCCCACAGAGGATCCTGCTGGACTGTGGTTCATGGAGTTGCAAAGGTTTGGACAAGACTCAGGGACTGAACAACAACTGACATAATAGAACTCAAAGATTGATATGTCTGGAGCACACTGAACAGAGGGGAGAGAAGTTGCAAAGAGAGGCAGGGCTGAGATCTTACAGCACTTTGCAAGCCTTCTATAAGTGAAAAAGTTATCAAAGACAGCTTTGACATGAGACTTCTATTTTAAGAGGATTACTTTAACATCTAGTAAAGGTGCTGTTCCAAACAGTGAGAAAAGTGAATTAAGTTATGATAAAAAATGCATTAAACTTTTAGGAAAGAATAAAGCTATAGACTCTTCCTAATTGTTTATTGAAATAAATTCGACAGATTAATTAAAATTCAAATACGTGTAAACTCAAGAAATGGAAAAATATATTGGGAAATATTTAACAGAGCTTGCTGTGGACTTCTAAGCATAAAAGGAAAAAATACCCCATAAAACATAAGGAATGACTACATAAGTTTCAAAACTTCCATGTGTCTAAAAACTTGTGTTGGTTAATATATTTGAAGTTTCCACAATAGAGAAACCCAATTCAATGTATCTAAACAAAAATCAAAGGTCTCTGGCTTTCAGTGTCTAAGGTCCAGTCTTCGTAAATGTATGAAAAATGGTTTGCATTCTGACTGTGTGCACTGGTTCTCCAGTTAGGCTGGGTTCAAAGCAAACAGCTGAGCATCCAAGAGGACTGATGTATTGCTTACTTGGATGTGACCTCTCATATATTTCCCAAAGGTGAGAATCTAGTTACTAACACTTCCACTTGTCTTAAAGGATGAACTTGTGGCTCTCTGTTGACATCCTTTTACATCCTATAGCTAATAAACATTGTATAATTTGTCCAAGAAGTGTCTAGTCTTCAGTTCTAGAGGTGATCACTAACAGTCAAAATAGTGGTCACACAGCCCCCAACAGATTAAAAGAGTTTAAAAATTACAATCAGCATGTTATTTACTTTTATAAATAAGATTAAGACAAAATAAAACACAAAAGCAAGGCTTTCTCTAAATAAATAATGGCCTGAATGGAGTGGTCTGTTTCTCTCAAAAAACAAAGCAAAACCAAGTATTTGTGCAATGTTGTTAATAGGGAGCAAAGCATACCCTGAATCCAGTGTTCCTCCACACCTATTTTGGGCTTCCCTGGTGGCTCATCAGTAAAGGATCCACCTGAAATGCAGGAGGGAGACGTAGGTTCTATCCCTGGGTCAGGAAGATCCCCTGGAAGAGGGCATGGCAACCCACTCCAGTATTCTTGTTTGGAGAATCCGGTGGACAGAGGAGCCTGGCGGGCTACAGTCCATTGGGTCGCAAAGAGTTGGATACCACTGAGGCGACCTAGCACGGATGTCATGTCTACTTTACTGTAGACTGTAAGCAGTGTTACAGGCATTTGGGGATCTAGTTTCACAGAAATCAAGAAAATAAAATATCCTTTCTGGAATTCTCACTATTTTCCCCAAACCTCACAGTTCAGGTCAAAATTGCTAACACAAAATTGCATCTCCTATGTGTGAAATTTCTCTCCTTGTTAAATTACAAGATGCTAAGGGAAGGGGCCCCATTTTATACTTGTTTTACATCACTTACAAGGCAGCGAACAGGAACTGCCGAAGGCAATGCTGAGTAACACAGATATTAACAATGAATTTAAGAAGGCTGGGAGGATGTTAGAGCGGGCGTTGGTGGCAAACAGATTTATGTTCTAATTCTTAGTGGGCACTTTTTAGCCGTGAGACCTTGGCTAAATCATTTTCTTTTTTTCCATTTATTTTTATTAGTTGGAGGCTAATTACTTTACATCATTGCAGTGGTTTTTGTCATACATTGAAATGAATTAGCCATGGATTTACATGTATTCCCCATCCCGGTCCCCCCTCCCACCTCCCTCTCCACCCGATCCCTCTGAGTCTTCCCAGTGCACCAGGCCAGAGCACTTGTCTAGAAACTTCATTCATTAGGGACTTGGGATGTGTCAGGTACAGAGGGGATCCAACTGCGAACAAAATAGGCAGCATTCCTGCCCACCTAAAAGGTCTTTCAGTAGTTCAGAAGGCAGAAAAGAAATCTGAATAATCGTGGAAAACCCTACGTGTAAAATGAAAATCATATCCACTTCCAAGTGTTGTGCAGTTTAAATGAGATAGATTACATAGTTCAGTGACCAGCACGTAAAGCAGACGATACAGACTGAAGTTTGACTTTCACTTCCTTATCAGTAATCTCCTTTACACAGGTGGGCCCCCCAGGCCTTTCCGCTCAGGGCCTACTAAGCGGAGACTCATCCGTGTGAGGGAAAGTACAGACTAGGCAGGCTGGAGACTGGGGAAGTAGTCTATTAATCTCCAGCAAATTGTTAACCTGTAAGACCCAGGGCGTCAGTGCTCGAGTTCTCATTGGCTAGTCTCCTTCCGAAACGCACGCCTTTTCCCGACCCCCTCAGGCTACTAGCTAATAATACACGCCTCCCCAGTACATTTCACTTGCCCCGCCTCCGCCCCGCCTCCCTAACGGGTTCGCGTCATTGGTGGATCTCCCGGGCCGTGATGGCGGTGGTGCGCCTGCGCCCTCCGTCCGGGCCTTTACCAGAAAAGGAGCTGGCAGGCAGAGGCTGGAGAAGGCTGGTCAAGCTCCGCCCGGGTGAAAGGGCGGCGGCTGCGCCGGGCGGGGCCGAGTTCCAGGGCTGGCGGCTAGGCTGCGGTGGGGCTAGCGAGGCGCTGCGTAGTTGCGCCCTGCTTTGGCGACTCGGGGCTGGCCGAGCAGAGTCCGCGCGCCGGCCCCGGCGTCTGCGCTACGCGGCAGCGGCGACTAAGCGCTGGTGTCTCCAGCATGACGGAGCTGAGGCAGAGGGTGGCTCGCGAGCCGGAAGCTCCGCCCGAGGACAAGGTAGCGGCGGCACCGGGTGGGCGCGGCTGCGGAAGCGGCGTTCCCCAGAAGTCCGTGGGGGGCGCGCACAGAGGGGTCGTCTCGCCATTTGACTGGCGCGGCCGCCGGCAGCATCGGGCCTGACTAGGGCGGAGGGTCCTTGGGTGCGGGGTCCCGCGGAGCTCGCGGCTGGGTTCAGCAGGTCGAGGTCCCGAGGACACGGCTCTGGGGTCCGGTTGGGGTTGGTATCTCCGCGGCGCAGGAAGGAAAGCGCGGGAGGTTGCGCACGTCCGCCAGCCTCGCAGGGCTGATTGGGGCGGGGGGCGGGGGGGTGTCCCAGTCCAGTCCACCTCCCCAGTCGTTCCCGGGTGTGAAGACGTCCAGACCCAGCAGATTCCTCAGAGCGTGACTTAGCCTTTCCGATCTCCCGTTATTTGTTGAGGGGTGAAGGTGTATCAAGACAAGGCCATGAGATTTGCCTGTTAGATTTAAACCCCTTCTCGAAAGTTAAATCTGTTGGCTTTAAGCAGAGAAGTCATGCAGTCATTAGGTGTTGAAAGGTATATTCCCCAAAGATGGACTTGTTTCCTGTTTCAGATGTGGGCTTTGTTGGGGTAGAGAGGAGGGTAGAACAGAGGCCATCTTGGGGGGGTGAGGGATGAGGTGAGTAGACTTATTTGGTTGAAGTGAAAGGTCTGTGTAGGAAAGTTGAGGAAGGTGATGAGTGGCCTTGTTACTGTGGACGCTAAATGACAGCGCCAACTTCGTGGTAGTATTTCAAGCCTGGAGTTAGTCGTGGTCAGGAGCAGTGTTATTTGGTGGATTGATGACAGTGATGTGTAAACTGGACTGAGAGAGCCTGGACTAGAATGAGAGTGTCTGACTCGCGGGTTGCCAACTGGTGACCTGCAGTTGTTTTCTTTGGTCCCTGTGTTGCTTTAAAAAACCAGAATGTTTCTCCCAGCCATTTGAATTTATTGCCTATTTTGGATCATTGGAAGATCTGCCATCATATTCCTAGCTGATTAATGTTTGGCTGGAACTGAGGAACAGCTGCTCCCACCAATCCCTGTTGCCCCTGCACCAGGCCCTCAATACCCGTTTATGTAGCTTTCCATTTTAGAAAACTGGAGGAAAGGAACGTTAGGGAGATATCAGGAAGGAAGAAAGCCAAGATTTGGTGTCAGGGTGTCAACAGCAGTTATACTAGAAGGGTGAAAGAAATGAAATTTGATTTCTAGAGTATGTTTGGGAGAAAAATTTGGTTGCAAGTTGAGGAGTTGCTTACAGAGACAAGGTACTTTGAAGTTTCTGATCTTCCCATTAAACACCCTAGTTTGGTCTGGAAGAGCTCTGTTGCCACCATGCATTTGCCTGTTGGGAAGTTACCAGATGTTTTGAGGCTGTATAGCCCTGTATAGGGTGAGAGATCAGTCTTAATGTTAATGGGACTTTGTGGTTTTAGGTGTGAAAAGAGCAGTCAAAAAAGAAAGCATGATACCTAGTGGGCTGTATGTTAAAAAACTACTTGTAAGAATTAGACTTAATGGTAAAAACGAGCAAACACACATACCCCAAAACCATGAGGTTATGAGGTAAAACAAAATTTCTACCCTTCCCATCCAACTGCTTGGATCCATTTCCCAGACAAAAGTGCCAGCTGATTATTAAGTACTTTCCCATCCCCTGTTTTAGGTAGGGATCGTATGAAGAACTAGCCAGCTAAAGGTACTTACGTTTTTTACAGCTTGGCTTAAACTGCTCCTATGATGAGAGAATGCCTGGGGCTTTGAGGTTCACTGAACGCTTGTTGCTCCACAAACACTTAGTCCATTAGCCCAGAACAAGGCAGTTGCTCCGTTGCCAATATTTCTGGATGACCATGCATGGAGTTTTTAATAATAAAGATTCCTTTTAAAAACTGTGAAATGGTTTATTTGTCTTTAATGAATGTATGCTGTGCTTAGTCACTTAGTCGTGTCTGACTCTTTGCAACCCCATGGACTGTAGCCTGCCAGACTCTACTATCCATGGGGATTCTGCAGGCAAGAATACTGGAGTGGATTGCCATGCCCTCCTCCAGGGGATCTTCCCAACCCAGGGATCAAACCGAGGTCTCCCACCTTGCAGGTGGATTCACTGCCATCTGAGCCTTCACATGAATGTATATAAAGTATTAAAATTAGGTTTATTTTATTTCATGGTCTATAAAACTTACTTCCATGATTCTGGCTTTGCTGATATTCTTGGGTTAAAATTTAAGAAAATATTGTAAAACAAGGGTATCTTTTAAGGGAAATAAATGGTGAACTTCTAGCTTTCTTATTTTATAGTAGAATTCAGAAAACAGTGTCAGATCAACTCATTAAAAGAACTGAAGCAAATTTGAAAGATTTAGGAAAAAGTGCTACAGTTGCCTAACTGGTGTGACAAAATTTAAATAAACAGTCATTTCAAAATAATCTGGGGAATGTGTTTATTTTTATAAAAGTCAGAATGTATTATATTTAGCATCCTAGAATGGAATTGTCAAGCCAGTTGCTAATAAAGGAAATTTTTCCTCTGGGAACCATGCTTAAAATTTTAAAGTCCCAAAGCACAGTATTGTTGCCAAAGCACGAAGCTTTGGAGTTTAAGGTTTGGAAATGATCTTCCTCCCATTGTTCCATGTTTTTCCATTGGAACTTAGGAAAGGAGAGAATGGAACTTGGGCCAAAACATTGGCATATTAAAATTTATGATTGGGTTGGCATTTCAGGAGACTTTGTTTTGGAGGTTAGAAGGAAGGATGTGGAGTTGTCTACTATCCTTAGGTGCTAGAGTGCTGTTTAGAGTTTTACTCATTCAAGGCTTTCTTTCTAGATCAATGAAAACAGCATAAAGATGAAATAAAGGTATTATTTAGAAAGGGGAGTTTAGATTTTAACTGAAGATGGTGGTTTTAAGAGCAGGGGCATAACAGTCAGCTAGAGCTATCATCAGCCTGGACAGTGCCACTTACTAGCTGTGTGTGTGTGAGATATGTCACTCAGTCCATGTTGCTCGGTCGTGTCCAACTCTTTGCCACCCCATAGACTGTAGTCTGCGAGGCTCCTCTGTCCGTGGAATTTTCCAGGCAAGAATACTGGAGTGGGTTGCCATTTTCCTACTCCATACCAGTTTGTGTAACTTTGAGAAAATCACTTAAATTGCATAAAAGCCTCAGCTTGTCCATCTCTAAAATGAGGGGTGATAAAAAGTAGCATGTGCTTCAGAGGATATTCATGTGGATTAAATGAGTGTGCATGTTACATATGTAGAGCAGAAGTTGTCACATTGTACTGTGTTAAGCGATTGTCTCTGGTTGAAATGTAGTTTTACAGGAAAAAACTAATACTCACCTTCTACTCTTGGAAGATGATTCAATCTTCAAGTTATAAGTGTTCAGAGTAGTCTTTTCCTATTTATCACCTTTTAAAGAAAATTTTATAGACAGAGCTTGGCCTTCTATGACCCACCTTTTCAGTTCATTTTCTTACTGAATTTTTCATTGCTCAGAATCACAGTCAAACTTCAGCTGTAGAAGGAATATTGCTTCATGCAATTGTCTTTCCCTAATAGCTTTTTTAGACCTCCCTCGTGGCTCAGCTGGTGAAGAATCTGCCTGCAATTTGGGAGACCTGGGTTCGATCCCTGGGTTGGGAATATCTCCTGGAGAAGGGAAAGGCTACCCACTCCAGTATTCTGGCCTGGAGAATTTCATGGACTGTATAGTCCATGGGGTCTCAAAGAGTCAGACATGACTGAAAGACTTTCACTTTCATAGCATATTTTAGAATAGTGGTAAATAATTAAACATAGTTTTCTGCTAGACTTCAAAAGTGAACTACTGAAATAATAAAATCTTATTTTTGGAGTTCTGACTACTTCAGATGCAGGAGAAATGCTTTATCCTTTCAGTCTATTTTTTTTTTAACACTGAGAAATAATTTAGGTTTTGAATAATCAGTAAACCTTAACTATGGCTCCCAGACTTAAATAGAAAGAGAAGATGAAAGATTAGTTTGTCATATAACCCAGTATTTTAAGTTGCTGATCAAACAGTATAATTTTATTTTAAAAACTCAGTTACGTTCCAACTTATGGCTACTTAAAATTAGTTTTTTTCAAAAAACGTTTTGTTTAAAATGTTTTGTGTAAATTTATGTGATATTTCATTAGCCTTTAACATTTTAAAAAATATTAAATTGCTCTTATCAGATGTTAGAACTAGAAGGGATTTTAGGGTTAGTTATTTTATAGCAGAGTAGCCCAGAGAGCTTGTTACTTTCTCAATGTCACACAGCTGGTTAGATGCAGAGTTGTTAATAGTATGAAGGTTTTCTGATTCCTTTTTACTCATTATGTTGCATAATGTTGCCTTTTAGGATACAGACTTAATTTATAGACTTTAAAAGTTTCCGCATTGATTGACTTTGATTAAAAAAAAGCCCCAGTATCTCCTGTTTTTTCACGAAAATAGCAAAATCTTTCAAAATGCCAAATATATATATATATATATATATATATATATGTATATAAAAGTATGTATGTGTTCCTGAGTGAATGTTGAAACTCTGAGAAAACTTTTTTTTTTTTTGGTAGAAAAAGTTGATTAGGTCCTGTTTTCCTGGTTATTAGAAAAGTGATGATTTATATATTTTAAGTTCACCCCTGGGAGCACCCACTCGGGTATCCTTGAAAGGAACTCCTAGCAAGTTGTCAGCTCCTCACTCTGAGCTTCATGGGAAGCTACTCAGAATAAATGCTTTCTGGTTGGTGGCTTTTAATATTAGAACTATTTGTCGTAGCAACAATGTCATTCAGTATTTACACATTTTCTTTTAGAATGTTCACTGAACCCAAGGTCTGCTGTTACACAGTCTCACTAGCTCCGAGAGAGGGCTGGTGTCTGTGCTCCTGGGGAAAACGTCCAGGATTTTATATCATTTTTGGCTCCAAATAATCCATTCTTTCTCCACTGATTTCAAGAAATCATAATT